AAACCCTAGCTTTCCTAAACCCTAATTTTCCCAAACCCTAGCTTTCTAAACCCTAGCTTTCTAAACCCTAGCCCACCCCTTGTCCGGATTGGCCTGAATAACGCATGCAGCAATATCTCCCCCGTGGGCACAGAGGGCCCCCCGGGGGCCCCTGTCATCACAGGGGCCCCCCAGGTCGCCGCGGGGGCCCCCCTCGGGGGGCCCCCAGACCATGCGGGAGAGGGAGCGGCCCCACAGGAGAGAGCCCAGGAAGCCCTTCTTGCTGCTGCTGCTGCTGCTGCTGCTGCTGCTGCTGCTGCTGCTGCTGCTGCTGGGCTTGGGCTGCTGCTGCGGCTCCTGCGGCGGCACGAAACGCGCTATTTGCTGCAGCATCTGCAGCAAATCGAAATGTTCTGCTGCAGCAGCACTTTCGGCCAAAGCCTCCACCAGCAAACCCGCAGCCAAAACGCGCTGCGCAGCCAACTGACACAAGCAGCAGAAGCAGCAGCACAAACCCCAAAAAAGGGTTTAGGTCTCAGCAGCTAGCTGCAGCAAATCCAACAATTAGGGTTTCCAAACAACGCACTCTAGGGTTTTCGTTTCCCCCTTTTAGTGTTTGAGGAAGCCAGACGCCCAGCTAGCTAGCTAAATGGCTAGCTGCCTAGCTAGCTAGCTGGCTGGTTTGCTGCCTGGCTGGCTAGCTAACTAGCTAGCTGGCTAGCTAACTAGCTACATAGGTAGATGGCTAGATAACTGGCTAGCTAGCTAGCTAGCTAGCTAGCTGACTCGCAGGGCCAAGGACTCGAGAGCCGGCTAGCTAGCTGCCTGGCTAGCTGGTGGCTAGCTGGGCCTAGGGCCGCTAGCTGGTGGCTAGCTAGCTGGTGGCTAGCTAGCTGGTGGCTAGCTAGCTGGTGGCTAGCTGGTAGAAACTGACTTTGCTGCTGGCGAAGCGCCGCAGGCGGTCTAGTGCAGAGCCCCCATCTTCCCCCGGGCTGCTGAAGCTGTCCAGTGCTGCAGCAAAACAGCAAACTGCAGCAGCTGCTGAAAGCAGCAGCAAACAAGACCCTTTGGGGGCCCCACGCTAGCTGCGGTTTGCTGCTGCTGCTGCTGCTGCTGCTGTTAGGAGGGGCCCCTGCTTACAGAAGAGAAAGCGACTCATGGTGGTCCGCCGCAGCAGCAGAGCCACTGCTGCTGCTGCTGCTGCTTGTGCTGCTGCTCAAGTTGCTGCTTCCGCTGCAGCCGCTGCTGCTCCTGTCTTGCTGCCAAGATTCGCCGTGTCTTGCTGCAGCTACGGCTGCCTCGCCGCTGCATTTGTTGAGTGGCTAAGGCTTTGCTTCCGCCATTGTGGGGCCGGTTTGCTGCTGTTGCTGCTGCTGCTGCTGCTGCAGCAGGTGCTGCATGTCGACTCCGAAGCAGCAGCGCGAGCGTCCGGGCCTTGCGAGGGATTGAAGGCCCCAGCAACGGCGCTGCAGAAAGAAGCCCTCACTGAGCTGCTGCTGCTGCTGCTGCTGCAGCGCTGTCTGCTGCTGCTGCGCGGTTTGCTGCTGCTGTTGCGGCGCAGCTGCAGCGGCAGCGCGCTGGGCCTCGCTCCAACACTATTAGCTGAGTTCGCGTGTCTTAACCAAAAAAGGCCACCCTGAAGCGCCGCATTTGTTCAAAATTCAGGAAAACTAGAAGGAAAGAGCAGCAGCAAAGCGCGGGTAGTGACTTCCTTGGAATGTCTGCATGCAGTTGGCAGCAGCAGCAAATCCAACGCGGACCGCTGCGGCTGCAGCGCGAAGTCTCGTGGTTCCCCCGCCAATACGGAATTGAAATTATCCCGCTTGAGTCAATTTCAATGTTTTTATTAATCTTTCCGATTAATTAAATCCCAAAAAGAAGATATAACTCTTGAACTCAGGGGGTGCCGGGCGGCTGGCGCAGTGCCGCGCAGCTGCTGCTGTCCATACACTCCCATTCTTATGGTCCAAAATATAACAACTAGCAAATAAATGGCATTATTTAGTTTTTTAAAAGAGGAAAAATACTTTTTAAGCTCCGAGACGCTCTCTAGCAGCAGCAACGGCAGGTGGGGGGCGGTGGTCGGCTCTGCGACACGGGCGCCACTGAGCTGCTTGTTTACAGGAAATAAATTTGGAAACTAAATTTATTTATTTCATTTAAAAGAGTTAAATTAAGCTTTTGAAGTCACTCTGATCAGTTTACTGTCCGCAGGCATGCTCGCTTGCGCTGCAGCAGAATAACTCCAATGTTGCGGGACCAGCTAGCCGCAGCCAGCAGCAGCAGCAGCAGCAGCAGCAGCAGAACTCAAGCTGGCCTATTCAGCCCCACAGCTCTTTTGCTGCTGCTGCTTAGAGCTGCCTTTTCAGCAGCTGCTGCACGCAGCGCTGTTTGCTGCAGCTGGCTGGAGCAGCCTGTGCAGCAGACGCAGGCGCGGGGAAGCAAAAAAGCAAGCGCTTGCTGCTGCAGCAGCAACGAAAAAGCAATAGCTGCAGAACTAGCAGCAGCAGCAGCAGCAGCATGGAGCTCTTGAGGCTGCCCCCCCTACGCTGCGGCTCCTCCTTCCCTGAGCGAAGTGCAGCACGCTGCTGCTGCAGCACGCTGCTGCTGCTGCACGCTGCTGCTGCTGCACGCTGCTGCTGCAGCACGCTGCTGCTGCAGCACGCTGCTGCTAGGTGCAGCAGCAGCCGCTGCGGCGCCCGCCAGCTGCTGCTGAGCTACAAATCTGTTGCTGCAGTATTTAATGGATTCTGCTGCAGCAATTGTTGGATCCTGCTGCAGCATTAAATGGATTCTGCTGCAGCACGGACTTCCGCAGCAGCTGCATGCAAACAAATTGAATTCTCTGCAACGTGCGCATTGAGGTGTCCATACACCTGAACAGTCACTGCAAAGTCTGCTGCACTAAGGTGTCAATACACCTGAACAGCGCCCGACAAAAGCATTTCCTAGCTCTTGTGTCTTCCATTTCTTTTCTGTAAATGAATTTGTACTTTTAATTCCTAGTTAATTAATTAATTAATTAATTAATTAATTAATTAATTAATTAATTAATTAAAAAATAAAATTTGCCTGGCCCCGAGGAATCGCAGATGCTGGTTGTGCGCCTGTAGATAAACAGCTTGCTAGCCAGCTAGCTAGCTAGCTAGCCAGCTAAATGGCTAGCTAGCCCATATCTAGCTAGATAAGTGGCCAGCTAGCCTATACCTAGCTAGCTAAGTGGCTAGCTAGGCCATACCTAGCTAGCTAAATGGCTAGCTAGCCCATATCTAGCTAGCCAAATGGCCAGCTAGCCCATATCTGGAGGTGGGCGGAGCCAGCAGCGCATGCAGCCAATAATAAGTGGATCTAAACACAAGACAGGTTAGCAGCTAAAGTTGAATTATTTCTTTTTTTGTCATTTCTTTATTTAGAGTTTGTTTTTTAGAAGTTCATTCTAAATCAGCAGCCCCAAGTGCCCTCGCAAGGCCCCAGGGTTTGTGGCAGTTAAAACCAGAGGGGCCCCCAAGGGGGCCCCCCTCCAGGAGGGGCCCCCAAGGGGGCCCCCCTCCAGGAGGGGCCCCCAGGCCCTGAGGGGCCCCTCTGGGGGCCTCTGTGGGGCCCTTTTGAATTATTTTTGCTGCTTTGTGGCTTTAAAGGGTGCATAGGGTTAACCAAAGCTGGTTTAAGTCAAATATATTTTGTATTTTGGACTTAAAAGGCGTTTTTAAAACAATTTATGGTTTTAATCCCTTTTTCTAAAGACCTTTTGCAAGGAATTCGTGTTGCTGCTAGTGCTGCAGCAGGCAGAAGAACAACTGCCCAGAAAAGCACTAAATTTGCATGCGCTGGCGCGCTGTAACTGGCATTTTTAGTGGATTTAAATTCAATTGTTTCTTTTTAAATGTTCAAGTAGCTGCTGCAGCGTTGTTTAGGCTTAAATGCACTAAGTGGCCAGTGCTGGCCAGCCCAGAACTGGGCTGGGTAATTTTTGAAAAAGTTCAAAGAGCTTTCAGTAAGTGTGCAGGCTTGTCTATGGGCTGGAGCGGGGGCTGGTGAAAACTTGTGTGGAGCAGCAGCAGCAAAAGCCAAAATTAATTCAATAATACTATTTTTAAAATTAATTTTGTTTTAAAAGAGTTCAATTTGCTGTTGGTGCGGCAGGGGCTGCTGCTGATCTCCAGCGGTGGGCTTCTGGCCCAGGCTGGGGGTGGGCTGCAGCAGGCATAGCAGCAGCAGCAGGAGCAGCAGCAAGTGCTGCTGCTGCATGCATCTGCTGCATTCGAATTTTATGAAACACTATTTTTTGTCCTGGGTTTCAGTCTTTTTTGAATCGAGCAGTCCGAGCTGCTGCAGCTGCGGCGGCGGCGCGGTCACCTGTTCTCCCCTCCTGTTCCGTGCTGCTGCTGCTGCTGCTGCTGCTGCTGGTGCTGCTGTTGCTGGTGCTGCTGCTGCCTCTTTTTCACGCAAACGCTATTCTAGCAGCAGCAAACTTGTAGATTTTTAGATCCCGGAGTCTCAATGGCCCAGAAAGGAAGAGTCGCAGGGGCTGCCGTTGCTGCTGCTGGGTGTGCCGGGGTGACAGCCAACAAGCCGCAAGCATTTAGGGTTTAAAAAAGCCTCAAATCGAGACAAAAAGAAATATAAAAAGACTTAAACAAATTTGTAAACTGCTGCTCCTGCTGGCTGCCTAGCTGCTGCTGTTAGAGCAACAGCACCGACACAGAAGGAGGTAGAGAGCACGGATGGAGCCCCTCCAGCAGCAGCAGCAGCAGCAGCTGCTGCCGCAGCAACAGTCCCAAATGCTGCTGCAGCCCCAGCCCGCAGGCTACTCCTCAGGGGTTGAGGAGGCTGGGGGCGCTGCCCCCGTGTGCACCGACTCTGGACAGCTCATGCTGCAGCAGCAGCAGCAGCAGCAGCAACAGCAGCAGCCCTTGCTATACCAGCCACAGCTGCAGACAGGCAAGCCTGCCTCACGTCACATGCTTCAGCTAGAACAACTGGCAGGATTCACGAAGTTCCTGCTGCTTCGTTTGCTGCTATAATAGACAGTGCTGCTGCTTGAGAAACACAGCTGCTGCTGCTAGTGGTGCTGCTGCAGCTGTTGCTGTGCGGCTGTTTCCTTTGCTGCTGCACGCCACCCAGCGACGGCTCTGTTGCTTCCAATGCTGCTGCTGCTGCTGCTGCTGTTGCTGCTGCTGCAGGCGGCGCTAGCTGGCCACAGTATGTGCCCGTGTGGGACTGCAGCGGGGCCTCGCCTGCTGCAGCCACAGCAGCAATGATGCAGGGGGCCCCTGCTGCTGCTGGGGGCCCCTTTGCTGCAGCAGGCAAAGAAGGCCTGAGTTCTGTTTACTGGCCAAGTCCTTACGAGGCGCAGCTGCTGCCGCTGTCTTACTGTGGCTTGCCTTTGTCAAATCCGCTGTCAATCTCTTTTGCTGCTCCTGCTGCAGCAAACTTGCTGCAGCCGCAGCAGCAGTTCCTGCCGCCGCTTCTTTGCACTTATGCTGCTGCTCCGCCGCCCATGAGCCCGCTGTCGCCCCGTTCTGCTGCTGCTGAAGCCCGGTCTAAAAGGCGGCAACGATGGTGCTGCTAGCTGCTGCTGCTGCTGCTGCTGCTGCAGCAACTGCAGCAGCTGCAGCAGCTGCTGCTGCAGCGCACGCTCCCCCGTTGGCTAACCACCAAGCAGACCCTAGCGCCCTAAACCCCAGACTTTAAAGCTTAACTGCTAGAGCCTACTCCTAAGCCAGTTCACCTGAAACCCTAAACCCTTCTGCTGCTGGCCAAGCAGCTAAAACCCTAAACCCTTCTGCTGCTGGCCAAGCAGCTAAAACCCTAAACCCTTCTGCTGCTGGCCAGGCACCTAAAACCCTAAACCCTTCTGCTGCTGGCCAAGCAGCTAAAACCCTAAACCCTTCTGCTGCTGGCCAAGCAGCTAAAACCCTAAACCCTAAACCCTTTTGCTGCTGTCCAAGCAGCTAAACCCTAAACCCTTTTGCTGCTGGCCAAGCGCAGGCCCTGCTGGCTCCGCATGTTGCGGCGCTGTGTGGCTTCTGGGGTTTAGGGGGGCAGCAAATGCTGCCAAACGCAAATGCTTTTGTCATAGAAACCCACTGATGCCCCGATGAAGCGCTGCTGCTGCTGCTGCTGCTGCTGCTGCTGCTGCTGCTGAGGTAAGCAGCAGAGCTGAGTGATACCGTAGGCCATGGACTCGTGAGGCTGCTGCTGCAGGAGCTGCTGCAGCACCGGTGCAGCACCGTCTTCTGCAATCGGAAGCATCGCAGCACAGCCCCGTGGTTACTTAGCAGCAGCAGCAGCAGCAGCAGCAGCAGCACGAGCAGCAGACCGCTGCAACAGCAGGTAGCAGCAGCCCAAGTGCAGCTGCAGAAACGAAACCCACTGCAGGCACAGGGGGCCCCACAGCAGCAACTATTCTTACCTGCTTCTTCCATTTCCCAAACTTCGTAGCCTCCGTGGCAGCAAGCAGCAAGAAGCAGCGGCCGCTGCTGGCTGCCCTTGGGCTGCTCGGGGGGCCCCCGGGGGCCCCCCGAAGCAGCGCCGGGGGCCCCCCTGAGGCCCCCCGAAGCAGCGCCGGGGGCCCCCCGGGGGCCCCCAGAGGCATCGCTGGGGGCCCCCCGGGGGCCCCCAGAGGCATCGCTGGGGGCCCCCCGGGGGCCCCCAGAGGCATCGCTGGGGGCCCCCCGCGGGCCCCCAGAGGCATCGCCGGGGGCCCCCCGGGGGCCCCCAGAGGCATCGCCGGGGGCCCCCCGGGGGCCCCCAGAGGCAGCTCTGGGGGCCCCCGGTGAAAGGCGCAGCCGCCAGAGGCCCCCTGAAGCCTGGCGTGAAGACAGGGGGCACTTTAGCTGCCGCAGGTCGAAGCAGCGAATGAAGCCGTCGTAGCTGTGGGGCCCCACAGACACAGAAAGCAGCAGCAGCAGCAGCAGCAGCAGCAGCAGCAGCAGCAGCAGCAGGAACTTGAGGAAAGAGCGCGCGGCGAGGCACTCAAGGCACCAGGGGGCTGCTAGGGACGCAGTTTGTGTCCAACGCTGGCTGCTGCTGCTGCAGCTGCCGGCAGTGCTGCTGCTGCTGCTGCTGCTTGTGCTGCACCTCTTTGCATGCAAACGAAGCAGCTGCAGCAGCAAAGGACTTCACCTGCCACTAAAGAGCAGCTGAGAGTTCGTGGGAGAAAAACATAAAGAAGTTACTCCCATGGAGTGGCTTTTGCTGCTCTCCGCGCGCAGACACGGGGAGCTCCCCGCGCTGCTGCCTCTGCTGCTGCTGCTGCTGCTCCTGCTGCTGCTCCTGCTGCTCCTGCTGCTCCTGCTGCTGATGGCCGTCTCTAGTGCAGCAAAGCGGCAGCAGCTCCGAATGTCCCACAGACGCAGCCGGCAGTCATCGGCCCCTGAGCCGCAGTGTACGTACACCTCGACAGCCTCAGCGGCGCAGCAAAGACAGCAGCGGCCTGCAGCCCTGTGCTGCAGCAGCAGCAGCAGCAGCAGGTGCTGCTGCTGCTGCTACTGCTGGTGGACTCTGCTGCGCGTGCAAACTGCAGCAAAGCAGCACTTACCCGTGGCAATGAGGCTGCTGCTGCTGTGGGGGCTGACAGCCACAGCCCAGGCCTCTGCGTCATGAGCCTTCCTGCAGCAGCAAGGCGCAGCAGTTAGCAGCAAGCTGCTGCAGCAGGGGGGTTGCAAGCAGCAGCAGCGGGCTGCATGCATGCAGCAGCAAACTGCAGCAGCAAACTGCAGCAGCAAAACTTCTCAAAAGCTGCAAAAGGCTCACCAAACGAGCGACAAGAACTCCAAGTCGGTCACCACAGCAGCAGATCCATCAGAACATGTTGCTGCTATGAACCTTCAGCAGCAGCAGCAGCAGCAGCAGCAGCAGCAGCAGCAGCGTGAACTCAGCGTCACGCATTATAAGCTCAAAGAATAGAAGCAACGCAGCAACTTATTCGCGGCGAAAAAAAGGCAGGGCAGCAGCAGCCGCAGCAGCAGATGCAGCAGCAAGAGAAGTAGCAGCAGCAGCAGCAAAAGCAGCAGCAGCAGCAGCAGCAGCAGCAAGATACCTTGGCTGGCCATGAAGGGCATCCAAGCCCAAGCCTATTTGGTCTCGGCCTGGATCCTGAAGCAGGGGCACTCGAGCAGCAGCACTGCAGCGGAGGCTGCTGCTGCTGCTGCCGCTGCTGCTGCTGCTGCTGCTGCTGCTGCAGCTCGTTCTGCTGTTATTGGCTTGTTCCTCCTCTTCAGGGTGTCCAGACACCCGAAAGGCGTGCAGCGCGCAGTCTGAGCCTATAACTGCGAGAAGAGAATCAAACTCTTGCTGCAGCACCAGCAGCAGCAGCAGCAGCAGCAGCAGCAGCAGTAGCAGCAGCAGCAGGGGCATTAAAACAGCGGAAACGCTGGCGTGGCAGAGACAGGGATGCCAGGGCGGGGAGCAGCAGCGGTAGAAGCAATACCCGCAGCAGCAGCAGCAGCAGCAGCAGCAGCAGCAACTTATTGCCTCACTAAGAACATGCCATTGCTGCTGAAGCTGCTGCAGCAGCAGCCCTCAGCAGCGCACAGCCACCGGGTGTCCAGACAGCCGAAGGATTCTGTCGGATGGTGTAGGATACAGCTCACAGAAGGAGTTGCTGCTGCTGCTGCTGCTGCTGCTGCTGCTGCTGCACTCTGCTGCTGCTGCTGCTGCTGCTGCACGCTATAAAATGAAAGACCCCCCCTACGGGACCGTGTGGCCTCGTCATACTGATACATCCCGACAACAAAGAGATCGCTGCTGCTGCTGCTGCTGCAGCAGCTGCTGCTGCAGCAGCTGCTGCTGCTGCTACTGTTGCTGGTGCAGCATGCATGGTCACTTGCTGCCGCAGACGCTACAGCGCATGCACCGTCTGCTTCCCTCTTTTCTGGCGTTTCTGTTGCTGCTGCTGCTGCTGCTGCTGCTGCTGCTGCTGCTCTGCGGCTGACACAGAGGGCAGCATGCTGGCTCCAGGACTCAACACAGTCGGGTGTATAGACAGCTTTGAAGGAAGCGAAGACACTCGAAGGCGCCACAGCAGCAGCAGCAGCAGCAGCAGCAGCAGTGCCCGCAGCAGCAGCAGCAGCAGCAGCACCCGACGGCATTTTCTGCTGCTGCGGCCCCTGCAGCGGCTCACGGCCTACAGCTTCTGGCTTTTTGATTATATTTCATGGCTTAGAGTCAAGAGAAATGTTAAGAGTTTGGGCTGCTGCCTTTAGGCAAATAAAGAGAACGGGGGGCCCCTGTGGGGCCTTCACAAGGCAGGGAGGGACAGTCGACTGTGCTGCTGCTGCTGCTGCTGCTGCTGTTGCAGCTTGTGCTGCTGCGGCTGCAGAGCGGCTCTTAGTGAACTTATCTCTCTTAATAGTTATAGTAAACATTAAAAATGTCTTTTGCAACAACTTTGTGGGAAAGCCTTAGCCTGGGGGCCCAATCAGCCACAGCAGCTGAGCTGCTGCTGCTCTGCTGCTGCTGCTGCTGCTGGGACGAACCAGCGGTCCCCTCTGCGCTGTCTCTTCGTGTCTACGGCATCCCCCTTCATTGCAATTCTTGAACAAAATGAAATAGCAGTAAAACAAATGAATGATAAACTGAAGACCAAGTCCCAGAGCGCCCCTTGTGAATTGGGGTGTACGTACACCTGGCTCGCCACCGACGCAAATCGACAGATGAGATAATTGTTGCATCCTTCTTTTCCCCTTTGAAGTCTCAGTTTTCTGTAACTTTCCTGAAAGTTACATTTTCACTTCTGACTGCAGCAACGGGCCGGTGTTGCTCCCGCTTTAGCTGCTGCTGCTGCAGCTGCTGCTCCCGTGCCGGCGGCGTCTGCTGCGCGAGTTGCAACGGTTGCTGTGTTCTCCCTCGCAGCCGAAATAGTGAAACAAATCAATACTATTAATCCATTTTTCCTCATTCAGCCCTTGCAGAGAGTCCCAGCAACAGCAGCAGCAGCAGCAGCAGCAGCAACAGCAGGCTCGGTAGGCACCGACGGAAGTGACCTCGGCACATGCATCTGTAAGCAGGGAGCAGCACGTTCAGTAGCAAGCAGCAGAAGCAGCAGCAGGAGCTTTGACAGCAGCAGCAGCAAAATGCCACTTGAATTGGTGGGACTGTGGGGCGCCGCCTCTGCGCTGGCTGCTGGCAGCAAAGGCGCAGCAGCAGTGGCTGCAGGCAGCAGCAAGACAATAGCAGCAGCAGGCGCAGCTCTTTTCAAAGGCGGAGGCCTGGGACACTTGCTGCATGCAAAAGGAACTGCTGCTGCTGCTGCTGCTGTTGACGGCACAGCCGGCAGCTGCCAGCTGATAGCTACTGCAGCGCAGCACAGCGGGGCCGCGGGGTCCCCGCCCCTCAGCAGCACAGCAGCAGCAGTCTCAACAGCAGCAAGCGGCGGCAGCAGCAGCACAACTGCAGCAGCTCTAACGACGAAGTCTGCAGCAGCAGCAACCAAAGCCCACCTGCTGGGGGCCACAAAAGCCTCTGCAGCAGCAAAAGGGGCTGCTGCCCACTCCCCAACCTCCTCTGGGGGCCCCAAAATGGGTACTGCAGCAAAAGGCACTGCAGCAAAGCCTCTGGGGCCCCAGGGGGCATCTCGCCACGTCACAGGGGGCACGGGGGGCCCCAAGGTGCCCCAGGTCCCGGGGGCCCCCGGGGGCCCCGGGGGGGGGGCCCCGGGGGCCCCCGGGGCCCCCGGGGGCCCCCCAGGAGTCCCCACTGGGGGCGAAAAAAGTGTGACAGTGACTCGAGACTTTGCCGAAAGTACTCCTTCGGGAGTTGTGCATCATATCACCCGAACCACCACAGAGTCCATAGACACGCTGGAGCCAGCGCAGCTGCTGCAGCTGCTGCTGCCGCTGCCTGCTGCTGCCTGCCTGGGGGCCCCGGGGGCCCCCGCCCGGGGCCCCGGCTGCACGGGGGGCCCCGGGGGCCCCGGGTACACGGGGGACCCCGAGTGGCTGGGGGGGAGTGGCCAAGTTTCAGAAAGGGGGCGGGAAGAGAGGCAAACTGAAAGCTACCACGGCCTCTCAGGAGAGCCGCAGCAGCAGCAGCAGCAGCAGCGGCAGCAGCAGCAGCAGCGGCAGCAGCAGCAGCAGAAGCAGCAGCAAAACGAGAATATCGCAGGCGGCTTTGGGGCAAAAAGGACAGTCACCCGCAGCACGCTAATGGGGCGGGCTGAGGCCTATGGGGCTTTTCTGTGGAAAGTGCAGCAAGGGGAAATAGGAAAAAATTAAATAAATAAAATAAATAAAAAACAAAAAAGAAATAAAAACAAAAAAGAAAGAAGTGTTTGCTTCCTAGAGAGAAGCAAAGAAAGATTTAGGACTTGTGTGCTGCGGCCTCGACCGGGGCCCACAACTGAATTGGGGGCCCCACAGTGGCAGCAGCAGCAGCAAATTGCGAAGAGGCCTTTTGCTGCAGCAGCAGCAGCAATTTGGAGAAGGGGTCCTTTCGTTGCAGCAGCAGCAGCAGCAACTTCGGAAAAGGGTCCTTTTGTTGGCAGCAGCAGCAGCAGCAATTTGGAAAAGGGGTCCTTTTGTTGCAGCAGCAGCAGCAAATTGGGAAAAGGGTCCTTTTGTTGCAGCAGCAGCAGCAATTTGGGAAAAGGGCCCCAAGAATGCTGGGGCCCTTTTTGTTCTTTTTGCAAATTCAACAGAGCCCTTCGGCTTTGCCAATTTTATAAGTCTTTTTTAGAAACAATTAAAAAGAAGTTTTAAATCAGATGCGTCTTTGCAACAAAAAACGAAAACGAACTGCCCCAAAACCCTAAACCCTAAACCCTAAACCCCCAAACTCTACGCTCTTTAGCTGCAGCCCCCAAGGGCCCTTCTCCCGCAAAGTTTCTAGAAAGCAGTACCCCTTTGGAGCTTCTGTGGGGGCCCCCTTGGGGGCCCCCCGGCTGATCTTTGGGAAAAAGCTGAAAAAACTTTTAAAAGTTGTGTTTTGCTGCATGCAAAACCTCCGCAGGAATTGGCGGGGGTTCACGGGATTCGTTGAACTGTCTGTACAGCTCAGGGCGGTCTGTTGGCTGCGCGAAAAACACACAAACGCAGCGCTGCAGCTGCAGCAGCGAAACTGCTGCAGCAGCAACTGCTGCAGCAGCACCTGCTGCAGCAGCGGAACTGCTACAGCTGCACCTGGTGTTGCTGCATCTGCAGCAGCGAAGCTGCCGCAGCAGCACCTGCTGCTGCTGCAGCAGTGAAACTGGTGCAGCAGCACCTGGTGCTGCAGTCGCTGCAGCGAGACCGCAGCAGCAGCAGCAGCAGCAGCAGCAAGACACCTACGTCAATGATAAGACCTGCTGTCTCCAAAGGAGGAACTTGATCGGTTCCTTGCCTGTCCGACGGCCGCAGTGCATCAGCCTGAAGCTCCCCGCTGCAGCAGCAGCCCCAGCAGAAGCCGTAAATGCAGCAGCAGCAGCAGCAACGGCAGCAAAGGAAGCCGCAGCAGCAAAAGACGCAGCAGCCGCTGCCGCAGCAAAAGCACTAGTGCTCTGCGACCAAAGCATATCCCGCCGGGCATCAAGCACAGCCGATGCGCAAGCAGCAGCAGCAGCACGGCGCAGCAGCAGCAGCAACCCGTCGCAGCAGCAGAACCAGCAGCAGCAGCAGCAGCACGCGCAGCATCAGCAGTAACAGCACGGCACAGCATCCGCAGCAGCAGTAGCAGCACGGCGCAACAGCAGCAGCAACACTGCGCAGCGTCAGCAGCAGCAACACTGCGCAGCAGCAGCAGCAACACTACACCGCAGCAGCAGCAGCAACACTACACCGCAGCAGCAGCAGCAACACTACACCGCAGCAGCAGCAGCAGCACTACACCGCAGCAGCAGCAGCAGCACTACACCGCAGCAGCAGCAGCAACACTACACCGCAGCAGCAGCAGCAGCAGCAGCAGCAGCAGGCTGACCAGTTGAAGATGGAGACGGGCTTGCGGGGCTTGCCTGCAGCAGAACCTGCTGCTTCGATCAGCAGCAAAGTCTCTTGGCCTGCTTCCAGCTGCCCGAAGACCACGTGCTGCCCGTCCAGCCAGGGGCAGGCTTGGAAGGTGATGAAGAACTGGCTGCTGCTGCTGTGCCGGTCCCGGCCCTTCGCCATGCTCAGCAGCCCTGCAGCAGCAGCAGCAGCAGCAGCAGCAGCAGCAGCAGCAGCAGCATAGCACCCCAGCTGCTGCTGCTGCTGCTGCTAGGCGGGCTGCGCTGCTCGCAGCAGCACGCGGCTCAGCGCGGGAACCCGCCAGTGAATTCGGCCCCGGCTGGCTGCAGCAGCTGCCGTCTGCAGAAACGCGTGCTGCTGCAGCTGCAGCTTTTGCTGCTGCTGCTGCTGCTGCTGTTGCTGCTGCTGCTCACCTCGTTTGGAGTGCTTATACAGATACTTTTCGTCTCTCATAAACTGCCCGTAGATACTTTCGCCGCCGTAGCCGTCGCCCCTGTGAAAGTCGCCTCCCTGAGCCATCTGAATAAGCAGCAGCAGCAGCAGCAGCAGCAGCAGCAGCAGCAGCAAGGAGATGCGCCCGGGCCAGTTGCTGCTGCTCAGCACACTGCAGTACTCCCATCTACGCAGCCTAGCCTCCCTTCAGCAGCAAACGCACAAGCAGCGCCTAACCTCTAATCTGCTGCAGGAACCTGAAACGTCTGTTGCAGCAGCTGCTGCTCAGCAGCAGCAGCAGCAGCAGCAGCAGCAGCAGCAAACTCACAAAGCCGGGAATGATGCGGTGGAAAGGAGACCCTTTGTACCATCTGGGCCGCATGTAGTAGCCGAGGCCTGTCTCTCCTGCAGTGTACGTACACTCCAAAAAGCAGCACAGAGGAGCCCATGCACTACTCCAGGTGCTGCTGCAGGTGCTGCTGCTGCTGCTGCTGCAGGTGCTGCTGCCGCTGCTGCTGCTGCTGGTGCGTGAGGCGCTTCGAAGCTCTTCCGGGCATGTGCCACAGACGGGTGTGCTGCGCTAGTTGCTGTTGAGATAGCTGCAGCTTTTCCTGCTGCTGCTGCAGCAGCCCCTGCTGCTGCTGCTGCAGCAGCAGGGGCTGCTGTAGTGGCAGCCTTTGCTGCTGCTGGGCTTACCAGTGCAGAGGCAGCGGAAGTTCTCCGCTGTGATGGGCAGCTGGTCTGCAAACAGCTGCGCAGCAGCAACAGAAACAGAAGCAGCAGCAGCAAATGTAAATATCCCATGGGCTGCAGCAGCAACAGCTGCAGCAAGCGCAACAGCAGCAGTCCGTGGCAGCAACAGGCTCGCAGCTGCACCGGCAACTGCAACGGCAGCGAAGCCAACAGCAGCAGCAACAAAACAGAGAGGAGCAGCAGAAGCAGCAGCAGCAGCAGCAGCAGCAAACCTGAAAGATGAGTCTGCCCGCGTTTCGATTGCCAACAGCAATATCTAGAAACACAAGAGGGTTTGGCAGCTGCACGCGGGGCCCCAGGGGCCTCAGGGCCCCCCCTGGCCCCCCCATGTGGCCGTTTTTCTGTGCGCAGACCAGCGCAGCAGATGTGTCGCAGCAGCAGCAGCAGCAGCAGCAGCAGCAGCAGCAGCACAGCTGCAGCTGCAGCAGCAGCGGGAACAGCTGCAAATCGAAGCCCGCTAAGGGCGGCGGCTCAGTGGTTTCCCCAGCAGCAGAAAAAAAAAGTCAAAATGAATTAAATCCTAAATTGCAAAACTTATTTTGCTGGGAGCCCCAAAGGCAAGGCCGAATCGACGGCCTCGGCAGTGGCCTGCAAAGAAGCAGCAGCGGCAGCAGCAACAGCTGCAGCAACTTGCAATAGTGCAGCTGCTGGCGTCTCAAAGGGGAAATTTCGGTGTAAAAGCAACAAGCAGCTAAAACTAAATAAAATTAGTAATTAAAAAGACATAGAAACATACACAGTAGTCGGAGCTGGCAGCAGCCGCCGTTGAATGCATGTGCATGCAGCAGCAGCAGCAGCAGCCACGCCTACCACAGCAGCAGCAGCCAGTAGTAGGAGCAGCAGCGCCCTGCAGCAACAGCAACAGCTCAAGGTTGCGAAGAGGGTTTGTTGTTGCAGTTGTTGGTTTGCCCTTTTCGTGTTTTGGTTTTTATTTTTCTTGTTTAAAAGATGGCGCCGAAGGAGAAAGGTGAGGCTTCCTGAGCCGCCGCTGCTTCCCCACGCTGCTGCAGCAGCATCGGCAGCAGCAGCAACTGCTGCTGCTCCTTCGTGCTGCATTACATTTGCTGTTGAAGTATATGTTATGCGCAATTAGTTTTTTCGCATGCCGGATATATATGGTGTTTCGAATGCCTGGGCTGCTGCTGCTGCTGTGCTGCTGCTGCTCTGGGGCCCCACCCCGCAGCACATGCAGCACAGGAGTTTGCAGCCACCGCTGCAGCGGCCCTTGCTGCGTATCCAATACAACCTGAATTTGCTTCTTATGCCATCCTGAATGCTTTGCATTTGCTGCTGCTGCCGGCTGCGCTCGGGCTCCGCGAGCGGCGCTGGCTCCGCGCTGCAGCAGCGCCGCCGCTGCTGCTGCTGCTGCTGCTGCTGCTGCTGCTGCTGCTGCAGTGGGTGGGGTGTGTGCGTGCGGCTGCGCAGCCCCTGCAAAGGGGTCCAAGGCGGCGATTGAGAAGAAGGTCAAGAAGGCCCAGGCAGTCGCCAAGGCTTTGAGGAAGCCGGGGCGAACTGCAACAGCAAAGGCGCGCTACACTGTGCGCTTTCGCAGGTGAATTTCGGAAATCTTTTTCTTTTTATGTTTTAAAAACAAGCCCAGCCTCTGCTGCTGCTGCTGCGCGGCTTGCTGCTGCTGCTGCGCGGCTTGCTGCTGCTGCTGCGCGGCTTGCTGCTGCTGCTGCTGCGCGGTTTGGCGCAGCGCGCAGCCCCTGCTGCGCTGCTGCTGCTGCTGCGGGCGCACCGCTGCAGCGGTGCTGCTGCTGCTGCTTCCTCGCTGCGCTCGAGCTTGCCTGGCCGCCCCGCTGCAGCGCCGCCGCTGCTGCTGCTGCTGCTGCTGCTGCTGCTGTGCAGGCCGCGGACTCTGAAGAAGCCGCGGACGCCGAAGGCGCCGCGGCTGGCGCGTTTGTGGGCAGCAAACCCAATTGCTGCGCTGCAGCGCAACGACAAGTACCGCGTGCTGCAGCAGCCGGTGACAACAGAAAGTGCCATGAAGAAGATAGAAGAAACAAACACTTTGGTCTTTTTGTGCGACCCGAGGGCCAGCAAAAGAAGGATCAAAGAAGCAGTGAAGGAGACCTACGGAGTCGTGGCCCAGCGGGTCAACACGCTCATCAGGTCCTGCTGCTGCTGCTGCTGCTGCTGCTGCTGCAAGTTGCTGCTGCTGCTGCAGCGCCCGCGCCGCAGCAGCGGCGCTTTCCCGCGCTTGCTCCCCCTGCTGCGCTGCAGCGCAGCAGAAGTGCACCTGCAGCAGCTTGCCTTTCGGTCTTGTCTCTTTTTGCTTCCTCTTCGGGCCCTTCGGCCCAAGTTTTGCTGCTGTGGAGTTTGCTGCTGCTGCTGCTGCTGCTGCTGCTGCGGCTGTTCCTTTTGCTTCGGCCTTTTCTCGGGGGCATGGAGAGAGGAAACAGCCGCAAAACGACAGAGGGTTTATTAGCGAGCAGAGTTGCCATTTCGGTCCCTGTCTTGCCAGTCGGCCTTCGGACAGCTGCTGCTGCTGTGCTGCTGCTGCTGTGCTGCTGCTGCTGCTGCTGCTGCTGCTGCAGTTCATTTTTTTGAATTTGGGATTTGTGTTTTTGCGCAGAGTCGACGGAAAGAAGAAGGCTTATGTCCGTCTCACCCCCGAGTTCGATGCGCTTGACGTGGCCAACAAGATCGGCATCATTTGAACGCACTGTGACGTGCTGCTGCTGCTGCTGCTGCTGCTGCTATGCATGCAACGACGCAGCTAGCAGCAGCAGCAGGGAAAGACTATCGAGTGATTTAGTCGTCCCCTCAGACGCCAGTGTTGCTCAATTGCCTTTGTAGATACGCTGGAAAAGCAAAAGTCAAAGAACAAAAGTCCAAAATAGAAATTGAATGAAATGGACTTGCTGCTGTCTTAGTTGCATGCGCAGCAGCAGCATTAGCACTGAGAAGTTAAGGTAGAAGCAGCAGCGTGTGGGGAGGGCTTGTTGGTTTGCTGCTGCTGCTGCGCAGCAGCAGGGGCAAGAGGGATCGGCCTGGAGTTGTTGCTGCTGCCCCTTCTGCTGCAGAGAGCAGCAGCGCGAGCTGCTGCTGCTGCTGAAGCTTCCCCTCCTCGTCTAAGCTGAGCCGGGGATTGTACTTTAGAGCTTTTAATTAGAATTTAAGGATTAAGGGTTGCAATTTAGGCTAAGTTTGATATTTATTAGTTCAATATTTGGCGCCGGGCTGCAGTGAATGCTCAGCTGATTAGCTTAGGCTTAGGGGGCGGCTCCAGGACCACCGCTACTGGCTGCCATTGGCGGGGATTCTGCAATTTGATATAAATAAAATATTTTAAATTTAAATATAGACGAAAAAGCTGCCTATTTGTCGATTTAAACTCAATATTTGTCCGCATGCAGCAGCAGGAGCAGTCGGCTGCGGCGCTGGGGCTGCATGCGCTGTTGTCTTGTGTAGGGCTGCCTGCTCTGCTGCTAGCTGGGCCTTGAAATAAAGACAATTGAGTCTAATTCTGTCTTTTTTTTGCAAATAAATGTTTTCAAAAAGGACTCAGAGGCGGAGACAAGAAAAAAAAGGGAAATTAAGGACTCGCGGCGGCTCGCCGTCTCAGTCGCATTTCACTTTTCATACTTTTCACTTTTTGCTGCACGCCAGGAAGTCGACGGGTTTAGCTGCGGCGTCGACAGTGAGCGCAGCAGCAGCAGCAGCTGCCGCTGCTGCTGCTGCTGCTGCTGCTGCTCAAGAAAGACACGCCATTCCCTGTCTTGGTGAGCTGCGCCATCTGCAGCAGCAGCAGCAGCCGGAGGAGCTGCAGCAGGGTGGGAAGCAGCAGCAGAGCAGCAGCTCGTGTATGCGCATTGCCTTGAGGGAACGGCAGCAGCAGCAGCAACACTAGCAGCAGCAGGAGCAGCAGCAGCAAAACGGAACCACCACAGCGGCAGCAGTTCCAGAGGTTTGCAGCATATGGCCAGAAGCAGCAGCAAAACAAAAAGAAATAGATAACTGCTGCTGCTGCTTCTGCTGCTGCTGCTGCCCTGAAGATGATGGAGAATGGCGTGGGGGACCCCTTTTGCGCTGCCCGAGAGTGAGTCCGTTGCTGCTGCAGCAAGTCGAAGAGCCGCAGCAGCAGCAGCTGCTTACGCAGCAAAGAGCCTTTCAGCTGCTGCTGCGGAATTTTCTTTGCTCCGGAAGTCTTAGCTCTAGTGCCTACATGGCGCTCCTTTAGTTTCCCTGCTGCTGCGCCAGCTGCTGCTGCTGCTGCTGCTGCTGCTGCTGCCGCTGCAACAGCTGCTGCTGCTACTGCAGCTGCTGCTGCTGCCGCTGCAACAGCTGCTGCTGCTGCTGCAACAGCTGCTGCTGCTGCTGCTGCTGCAACAGCTGCTGCTGCTGCTGCTGCGCCTCTTTGCAGCGAAGTTGAAGCAAACTTCTCGGAGCTGCAGCGGCTGCACAGGGAGTGGAAGCAGCAGCTGCAAACTCGAGGCCACCCCTCCAAGTGCAGCAGGCGAGTCCAGTGTACAGACACCCCAAGCTGCTTCAGAGCTTGCGAAACGCACGTGCATTAATATAAATAAATTAAATAAATAAATAAATAAATAAATAAATAAATAAATAAATAAATAAATAAATAAATAAAGAAATAAATATATCTTTGTGCATACATATGTATATATACCTGGGTGGGGTTTTTGCCACTTTTATATGCACTGACGAGCTTACATCTGCTTGCATGCGCGCATGCATAACGGCTGCCGCTGCGCTGCTGCTGCTGCTGCTGCTGCTGCTGCTGCTGCTGCTGCTGCAGTTTGAAGAGTACGATTGACTCCTCTTCGGAGGCGCTGGCAGCAGACCTGCGGGCGCTGGAGAAGGCCGTGGCCATTGCAGCAAAACACCAGCAGCGTTTGGGGCTGCATGCAGAAGAGCTGGAGAGGCGGCGGCAGTTTGTGCGGCAGCAGCAGCAGCAGCTGGAGGCGCTGCGGGCGGACGTGAAGGTGACACGCCCGTGCTGCTGCTGCTGCCTCTGCACTGCAGCAGCAGCTGCTGCTGCTGCTGTGAACTCTTCTGTCCTTTTCTCTCTTTTTGCTGCTTCTGCTGTCAGGCTGCAAGCACTTCGCAGCTGTGGGTGGCTGAGGGCCCCACAGCCCGGGGAGATTTCTTTGAAGTGGCCGAGCAGAAGCAGCAGGTAGCAGCAGCAGCAGCAGCAGCAGCAGCAGCAGCAGCAGCAGCCTTAGCAGGGGCCGTTACTGACGCTGCAGCTTCAGTGTGGGGGTTGGTTGGAGCCCAATTCTTAACGAACTTTGTCTGCTTTCTTGCTGCTGCTGCTGCTGCATGCAGACTTTGGTGCAGCAGCAAGACGAGCAGCTAGATGAGTTGGCTCTTGCTGCTTCCCGCCTCCACGAAACTGCGCTGACAATTAACCAAGAGCTCGAGACGCAGCAGCAGATGCTGACGGATTTGGACGACGCCGTAGAAAGACAGGGTACAGGCTGCTGCTCGTGCTGCTGCTGCTGCTGGGACTGCCGCCGTGGCTGCTGCTGCTGCTGCTGCTGCTGCTGCTGCTGTTCCTAGCGCTGTTGCAGCTGCTGCGGCGACTGACACACCCAAAGTAAACAGAGTCACGGCGCCCCTCACTTAGGTCGCTGGTGGCTCCTTTAGTCCAGTTCTTTTGTTGCTGCTGCTGCTGCTAGTGGCTCCTTTAGTGCAGACCCTTCCGCTGCTGCTGCTGCTGCTGCTGCTAGAGGCTTTGGGGTGGCTAGCTGCGTTCGTTGTGTGGCTGCGGGTGCCGGTTCCTTTTCAGCTAGCGAAATGAACTTTCTCATGAGGCGGCTAAGCAGAGTTGTCCGCAGTTCAGGTGGGCTTTCTTGCTGCTGCTGCTGCCCCGCGCTGCTGCAGTGTTGCTGCTGTCAGTGCTGCATGCAGAAACTTTGCCTAGCACTAGGTGTAGCCTGCACATGTTTTCGCTGCTTCCTTCATTTGAGTAAAGAGCAACTGCTGCAGGGCCGGCTAGCCAGCTAGCTGCAGCAATATCTGCAGCGGCTGATTCATGTTTCCGTTTGTTTGCTGCTGCATGCGGTGTTCTGTCCACTTCAGATGTGCGCCAGCTCTGGACCATCATTTGGCTGTTTTGTATTGCCCTTGGTCTGTTTATATTGGTGATCGTTTCTTAGCGCTGCCAGCAGCAGCTGCAGCTGCCCACGGCTAGCTGAAGCTATCTGCTGCTTTAGCTTTCACTCGCCGGTTTTGCTGCGGCTTTCTGGGCCAGCCACAGCAGGCTTGGCTAGCTGGGTCAAGCTGCAGCTAGCTGGTTCTTGCTGCAGCTTGCTGGATCTAGACAGCTGGATGCCGAAGACAAGCTGCTGTTGCCTGCAGATAGCTGCGGCTGGCTGCGGGCGAGCTTCCAATGAATTGAAGGGAGCAGCTAGCTAGTTAGGTGGCTAGCTGGCTAGCTAGTTAGGTGGCTAGCTGGCTAGCTACCTGTTTCGCCAGCTAGATGCTAGCAGCGCAGCTTAATCGAGGCACAGTTGGCCTTGAACTGTATTCGAGCAACTGCGTTCAGCAATGGAAAACTCTACAATTTGCGACTTCAAGTTTCTGCAGCAGCAGCTGCTTCCATTTCTACTGCTGCTACTGCTGCCGGCACTTGTAACGCCGCCGTTGAGACATTCGGTGCTAGCTTTGCTGCTGCTGGGCCAGCTACTGCTGCTGTTGCTGCAGGGGGCGCAGCAGGGCCGTAGACAGACACCAAGCAGAAACAAAAGGGCACTGCGCCACCTCTACTAGGACAGCCCTGAGTAAGGGCATCTATACAAGTCCCGTAGGGGCCCCCAAGAAAGGGTTCGCCTCGGGGGGCCCCCTTCAGAAGCGGCTCTTGTGGGCCCCGAAGGGGGGCCCTCTCAGGGGCCCCAAGCGGGCCAAATGCGAAGGGCACTTTGTGGGCCCCTCGTGAACCCTCTGTACGGAAATGCTCGGAAAAAAACAGAAATGTTACGGGCCTGCGCTATCTGCTGCTGCGAGGCCCCCGTTTACCCATGAGGGGCCCTCGGGGCTGCTGACCCCGGAGGCCCCCGGCGACACGGCAAGACTTTCTCTGCTGCAGCTCCGGCCCGCCTGCGGAAGGGTGCGGCTGGGCGCAGCAGACACACGGTGTGCATCCACTGCGCCGTCGCTGCTGCTGCTGCTGCTGCTGCTGCTGCTGCTGCTGCTGTCCACAACTGCATCGTGCTGTGCTGCAGAGCGTACAGCGCTCTCGCTGCACAAGCGTTCTCCCGCGTTGTTGGCCAACACAGCATTGTCGCTGCAGCCGCTGCTGGTGCTGCTGCCGCGGATACTGCTGCTTCTGCTGCTGCGGACACTGCTACTGTTGCTGTTGCTGTTGCCGCCGGTGCTACTGCTGCTACTGCTGCTGTGCGTTGCTTCCCCGTCCCCTGGGCTGCCTGCTGCTCCTGCTGCTGCGCTGCTGCTGGCATTTTCCTCAAGCAAAGCACCTGCCATAAAGCCCAAAGCAGCGCACAGGCCCCTGAACGCTTTGCGGCGGGCAGCAGCAGCTTCAGTGCGCGGGGGTGCTGCTGCAGCAGCTGCTGCTACTGCAGCGGAAC